CTGTCCTGCAAAAACGATCTAGAAATAAGTAAAAATGTCTTAAATCAAGTGTATTTACCCTTAATTTGAGCAGGTAAATGAGTGATTTGACAATGGAAGGAGTATTTTAATGAAAAATGACTTATCTAGATTATGATTTTTTTCCAGTGGTGATAGTTTAAGTGGAATTTTTTTAAATCTCTAATTTTACATTTTTTATTAACCTTTAAGATCAAGAAAACCATGATAAATTTTCGTTTCCCATCATAAGAAAATCCTTTAATTTATTGTCAGTCCCTTAGCGAGGGTAGAGCTGCTGATGTCACTTCTGTTTCACTGAGCCAGTGACAAACATCAGATGCAGTAACCCCGTTATACCTGAGGAGGGCGCCAAGCGGTAGCTCTTATGCTACGTTCACACCGCACGCAACAGAAGAAGCAGAAGGTCTCGTCTAATCAGAGCTAATCAGGCGACTCTGTGAGCTGTTCATCCAAACCGTCACAATTTATTTTTATTTACATTTTATTTTCATGGCCATGTCACCAAATTCAGATACTAAAACACTCTAAACATTTTAATCTAAATAAGTTTTTTTTTCCCTTAAAGTTAATTTTTCTTTAATTGAGGAGGAACGTGAGACACTCTGCCAATGGAAGCAGAACATTTACATTTAAAAGAAGAAAAAACAAAGGTGTTCTCTTAAGTGCATATTATCTAATTATCTAATTTTAAGAGTAAATATACTAATTCTTTTGGCAAATCATTTTCTTTACCTACTTGAATTAAGCATGAATACAATTAATTTAAGACAATTTTTCTTTATTTCTGGATCGTTTTTGCAGCGAGTCTCATTTTCATCGTCACTCATTCATCTCCATAATGGAACGGCCTGCAGCTTTGCCCGCAATAGAAGCTTCGCTCTAATGGAGCTTTAATGATGAAGAGGAGGTGAGTCAGAAACCAGAGCTTCCTCCTGGAAGCAACCAGCACATATCTCTCCACCCACAAAGCAAACCACAGCGGACGGGTCATGTGACCCCGTTAGCTGAGCAGAAACGGTTCAAATAGATCAACTGTTTGTTCTGATGTCAGCATCAAATCAGTGCCGATCGGACATGGAGGACAGGTGAGGAACTGTCCCATGGTTCTACAGAAGCAGGACAGAAACCACAGCAGCAAAACAGGAAATGCTGATGTCTTCAGAGCTGCTTCCCAGAGCATGTGAGCGGAGCGTGGAGTGAAGTGGAGCGGAGCATGGAGCGGAGTAATGAGTGGAGCGGAGCGGAGCATGGAGTGGAGCGGAGCGGGGAGCGAGGAGTGGAGCGGAGCGTGGAGCGAGGAGTGGAGCGGAGCGTGGAGTGGAGTGAGGAATGGAGCGGAGCGAGGAGTGGAGCGGGGCGGAGCGGAGCTTGGAATGGAGTGAGGAATGGAGCGGAGCGAGGAGTGGAGTCGAGCAGAACGTGGAGTGGGGCGGAGCGTGGAGTGGAGCGGAGCGAGGAGTGGAGCGGGGCGGAGCGTGGAGTGGAGGGGAGCGAGGAGTGGAGCGGCGCGAGGAGTGGAGCAGGGCGGAGCGTGGAGTGGAGCAGAACGTGGAGTGGAGCGGCGCAAGGAGTGGAGCAGGGCGGAGCGTGGAGTGGAGCAGAACGTGGAGTGGAGCGGCGCAAGGAGTGGAG